AGGCAGGAAGAAATGGAGATGGATTGGATTGTGGCCATACTCTGAGGAAACAAACCATCAAGTGAATCACTAGACAAGCCATTGCTCGAGTGGAACCCGAAAGGGAAGGGCGAGTTGGTCGTCAGTGCAAGGGTGAGGGTGACTTGGAGGAGGTGATGTGAAGAGGAGATGAAAACGTGTGGGCAGACTTGAAGCAAGGTGAAAACGCTAGGAAAGAACCGAACGCAATGGAGGCGCACGACTGAAGCCCTATGTTTCTCTAGGAATCAAAGGAAACAATAATAATAATGGTGCACCAAAGATATACGTATACAAAATAGGCCCTGCACTCCGTCCTAATCTGTATATGTCTGGGTCCCCCCACCATCCAATAGCTAAGTGGCTATCTGGAATCCTTGAACTGCTACATCTATCTATTCCCTTCATGACACCTTCCAATTTTCTTAACTCTCAGTAGAACTGAAAACAATAGCCTAATCAAGATGAAGGACAGAATTTAACAGTAAATGTAAGCAGTATTCCACTGATTCATTTGTAGAATTCCTCTTTAGGTGGTGAGTACGCCACATACCTTTTGTATACAGTGCGGTCCATCGCAATGGACTGGTATTACACTGAAGTGGTAGTGGGTGAGGTGAGACAATAGCTCAAGGAGTTATGCTGTCTGGAGAAGATTTCAGTACAGGTCGCATAATGCCAGGAGGATCAGTTGGACACCAGAAAAGCTGAATGTAGTTACCGTCAACTTGTAAGTTGCTTAGGCTACGGTGATGAACTGAGGCCAGCAAATGAACTGCTGTCTAAAAAGGAACTAGTTGAAGGCAGGTGTTTCTTTCGAGCAGTCTATTCCAGGTGTCTCCTGTCATTGAGACAAGAGGGGTGGCTAGATAATGTCAACCACAAAATTCGCACATCCCGACTAAAACTTTGGCAACTAAGATAGAGAAGATTTGTAGCTCAGGTGGATGATTTTGATGTGACTGTGTTCTCTGAGCTGGATAGTTAATTTGCGAAGCTTTCATCACCCTACTGGGTGACATCTTCAGCGCATACTTCAATTTGAAGTCAGATTTCAGATTTCTCCACGAGTTTATTAATCATCTCTCCTGGCGACCTTGGACGTGATTGGTTGTTTCGGTGTGTTTTCACACCTTCTAGGTTACTTGTATTGTCACTCATTGTTTCTTTGACCTGAAATTTGACCCTTTGTGTGTGAGGTTTCTTTCTTATCGGTTGATAAATTTTGTCTATCTCGATGTGTCTATTGATTGATGATTCACTGGAATACCACGCAGGCTTCTAAAAATTCTCTAGCATTCTTGTTGTTTCCTCTGTCTAATATTTGAACGTTGGTTGTCCCAGTCGAATTGATGTCCGTGGTTGTCTGTATGTAGTGATATGAGGGAGTGGATATCATGTCTTTTGACAGCTAGCTTGTGTTCGTGGATACGAATACGAAGAGGACGTCCACTTGGCCAATGTAGTGTTTTTCCCAGTTGATACAATCTATTTTGTAGATGATGTTGGTTTTATCTGCATTCGCTGTTGAGTCTTTTGGTTGACATAGAATTGAGTGGAGTGACTTTGTTGGTTTGTCTACGAAGTCAATTCCTAAAGGTTTGAAGAGTCTTGTAGTGATTTCTGAGATGTCCTTTATATATGGTAAGGCGATTTTCTTTGTGCTTTCCTTGGTGGCTTTTGGTTTGATGAGCTCCATGAGCTCAAATTGTTCCTAGTCGCAACTATGCCTTGTCGTTTTCCAGATTCCAAGATTTTTACTATTCTCTACTTAATTATTTTGTTTATTGAACAATGTATTCCTGCTCTTCCCTTTTTGAATGATTTTCTGAAGTGTGGGTATCTGAACCAGCACCCTCCTACACTTATCTGTAATCTACTCTGATAGAATTGATTTGCCGATAGCTAAACTCAGGACGATTATTAATGACTACAATGTCCCATAATATTCATTAAACAAGAATTTTCAAATATGGTAGTCTCATTCTCGTAACCTATCTGAGTCTCATCCTCTACAAGCGAACATGGAGAAGGCAGAGGTGATGGAGATACCCACTACCCAACAACAACAACAACCAGTAGCAATCACTAGCAACGGGAAGAATTTGAAAGGCGTCACTTCCTTCACCCATCTATCTAGGAGACACCATCTCAGCTACAGGTGCTGGCATGGATGACCATGTCAGAACCAGAATCGGAAAGGCAAGGCATACACCTTCATCACTCTGAAATCACTGTGGAAATCGTCTGCACTCCAACGAAATTCGGACCTACAACACAAATGTGAAGTCAGTCAGTTCTTTGATATGGATGGATCAGAAACGGCTCATTACAAGAAGCAATTCCAACAGGTTGCAGACTTTTATCAATAGCTGCTGTCGCTGGCTTCATATTAGAGATCGAATGGCCAGTCAGAAGGAATTAGCAACAAACAACCGGTGGGAACGAGCCAATCAAGAATCTATTAGTGAGGAAGTATGTCGAAGGGAGTGGAGATGGATCGGGGACACACTGAGAAGACCGTTGAATGGTGTCTCGCTACAGGCCATCTGTTGATTGGAACGTTGAATGGAAAACGACGAGTTGAACTTGTGTCTGTGTGTGTATATAAATGCGACTGTACAGCTTTTGAGAATGAAATCACCGAAAAGATATCTTTGCTGAACTTCTTGTTCTTTTCCCTCTAAAATGAAGAAATCCGTTGAGCCGACATATGATTAGGGATCACATACTTTAGCATAGAGGGATTTAGACCATGAGAGTTGGAGAGGTTGAACGAACAATTTCTGTACACAGAGATCGGGCGCTTCTGTTTCGTTTGCCAAAGCTTCAGCAATACAGATGATTCGTGTACTTAATGATTTCGGTAAATTACTGTTTGCCTTGTAGATGACTTTTAACGCGGAGGCAATAGAGATCAGTAGGTGATCACCATTGACCGGATGTTCAATTACGACGAGATGTTGAATGATATCTCGCTACAGGCCATCTGTTGAGTGGAACCTGAATGGAAAACGACGAATTGAACTTGTGTCTGTGTGTGTATATAAATGCGACTGTACAGCTTTTGAGATGTTCTCACGGCCCCATTTGCACCTCTTCGTAACCACCAGGCAGGATAGTGTTCTTGCATCCTCTTGGTCAAAACTCGAGTCGAACGACCAATATACCTAGCTGCACACGAATTGATAAACGCACATAGAGTTTGTCGATAGCAGGATCGTGTCCTTCAGGTTTTTGAACAGTGATGGTCGACTGGTAAAGGCTATTCTCAGAGATGCATCAGGGAATGTTCTTCTCAGGGACAGTGATATATCCTTCTTTTCATCATATCGGAAGCTAAGTCACCTTTGAATTCCAAGCTCATGTCTCCGGTATTGTTTCACTTGTCCCACTTGTCATTCTAAATCAATTCTTTTTCTACAACGTTAAATTCCATACTATCAAATTTCACACAATACTACGTAACGGTTTTGTTTAATTCAATTCGCCTACTAATCCTACGATTGCACATCACTTCAAAGTTCTGTCCATCCTATGAATTATTCTATATATGTGACATTAATTGTTTTGCCACTTAGCATTTAACTATGATTGTAATCACAAATATTTTAATTGCGTTTCATACTACTATTATTATTCTTTTATGCATTCACTGAGACCTATGATTCAATTCCCTCCCTCACCGGATATAACTTCTTGAAGATCAGTTCTTGACATCATTCTCCATCAGCTGATACGTAAGATAAGGTCATGTCGTTCTAGAGGCCTTCGAGTAACATCTCCTGTCCTTTGAGGAAGCTATTGCCAAACACAAAGGAAACCTTGAAGTGAGATATCGTGTGTTGAACAACTACAAATGCTCAGATCATCTCTAGGAAATTGAATGTTTGAACAGGAGGTTAATTAATATCTCCTACTTACAGATAATTAAGTAGTTTGGGTAATATAACAAAATAATGTGGGAGAGTGCAGTTGAGTCCGCAGCAAATAACCGAGATTTATCAAATTATCATCATTTTTTCGATTTATTATTTATCACTGAGAAACACAGTTTTTAGCATTAGTTTTCTCTTATATTTAGTAACTAATGACAAGTTGTCTCTAATGCAGATAACATTCAGAGTCATAAATTCTCAACTTACTGAAAGCAGATAAACTGAAAAGTGAGGTGTAAGCTAAAAGCTTCGTTTATGCCTAAGGGAGATAGATGTCGATAGTCTTGCATTTTGAGGGATTCAGCATGAGACCATTTAGTTTAGACCACTGACTGATGTTCGACAGGAAGCTATTTAATTCGAAGCAGTCTGACTGAAAACATTTTGGCGGCCTGTTTGACACCTGGGGTACCTTTCTGTACATCTACACATTTCCTTTAATATGAAATGAACTACTAACTTGAATTCTCCGTGAATAATTAATTACATAACTGTATCTCCTGAAAGCATTTTTCCCGATTGGTTGTTAATCTGCACCGCCATCGATGTTGTGTTGTATCGTGTGGCGTTTTCTTTTCTTTACTATTTTTTGATAAATTTCACTGATAATCAATCAAATGTCGTTTCGTCACTGATACGTTTGCTTACCCAGATTGTGCGAATCCCCTGGCACTTTTTGTGTTGTTTCCATTGCTCGAATTCTCTATATTTTACTGGCGAGAGCATTGTCCATGGTTGTATACATACGTCTATATGTGCCCGAGATTTATCAAATTATCATCAATTTTTCGATTTATTATTTATCACTGAGAAACACAGTTTTTAGCATTAGTTTTCTCTTATATTTAGTAACTAATGACAAGTTGTCTCTAATGCAGATAACATTCAGAGTCATAAATTCTCAACTTACTGAAAGCAGATAAACTGAAAAGTGAGGTGTAAGCCAAAAGCTTCCTGATTATGAAAAAATAAAAATGAAAAAGAAATGCTGTGTCTTTGTTATGACGAATATCCTCAAAACACTTTTGATGCATACACTGTTGATTACTGTCGACTTACACTCAGTCCGTTATGATGATTACACAGAATTATACAATCACACTGTTGTAAGCCTTTATCTGCAGAACAAAGAATATACTTATATGGCTTACAGTTGTACGGATAGTGCATTTGTTCAATTTCCTTGAAGGTGGTGCATATTCTATTCGAACAGTGACAGTGATTGGCTTTCACTGAACAATTACACACTATTCGTTCATATGGTGTTGCAGGTGGGTGTTTCTGTGCTGCTGCTGCTGCTATTATGTTTGTTGATGACACACTTGGCGCTGATTCTCTCGACTTTTGTATATCTGTTTCAGGCAGTATTAGTAATGCTGGAGTTTTAAAAGCTGTTGTCGATGATGTCATAGTCTGTACTGATTTCGATAGTTCGGATTGTTTTGATATTGACAATGGTGGTGATGGTGGCGGTGTCGGTGTCAGTGTCGGTGTTTCTGATCTTGGCGGTGGTGTTGGTGTTCTCTGCGATTCTCTCGGCAATGGCAATGACAATGGCAGTGGCAATGGTGGTTGTGACTGTGATAATTGAACTTTAGACTCAGTACTGTACTGTCTAGAAAACTCCTCATCTGTTCGACATTCTGCAGACGAATTTCCGATTGTTTGTTCACGCTGCATATTTGTATTCTTGTTAACAAGAGAACAACCACACATACAATAATTATTTCTTTCATTGAATTTACACTTTTGTGGACTTGATGTAGAAGCTGTAATAGTGAGTTTAACAGATGGCAGTTCACAATGTTGGATAGTTTTAGAGCTTGTAGCAGTTGTCTGATTCAGTGGAGGATCATGTTTTGAAAGGGCATTTCGCTCAGTTGCATTATACACCGCATTCACAGGATTTAATTCATCCAGTGTTTCAACATCTGGTTGAAATAATGTATTCAAGGAAATTTTATTCTCTGCTAGTACATGTTCAGTATTATCAATTGACTGGACTATTCTTAAATTCAAAGTACCCGGGAGGATATTTTCTTCTTTCAGCACTGCATCAGAGTCATCTGGTAACAAGGATGGTGAACAATATGTAATAGAAAGATGATGATTTCGACAGCATTCACAACATTCACAGGGATATTTTTGTATAGCAAACTGTTCAGTACCTATTGATGTTGGATAATTTTCTAGATTTTCATTTTGGTCAGTTAGAACAGGCAAATAGGGTGATTTGCTTATATCATCATCTTGTGATGATTGCATTTTGCACAGGTTTTCGTCGAATGCTACATCTTTACTTTTGACGAGTTCTTGATCATCCGAACTCATTTAATGTTGTTGTTGTTGTGGTGGTGGTGGTTGTGGTTGTTCTAGCTGCTCTTCTTGTCTTTGGTCTGTATTTCTGTTGTAATAGTCGAAAGTCTCCTGAAGTAGTAGAACATACTCTTCCAGTGATAACTTTTCAACCTCTTCAACTTCAGTTTTCACAGGTTCATGTGATTCTATGCCTCTGTGTTGTATTGTAGTTTCAGTGACACCATGGTCTTCATCCTTGAATGACTTCCTTTTTACTTCATCTTCTTCTTTAGACAGAGATATTTCAGTAATGTTTGTGAAAGATATTGGCGAATTTCTTGACGTTTTAGCTTGATGTTTTTTAGACGTTGTATGTTTTGAAAGTGTAGCTTTATTGGAAGGCTTTGTTGAACGTGTAGGTTTCTTAATTTTTTTGTCACTAGGCGTGGTACCTTTAGTCTTGTATGGTGACTTCTTTCTTTTAAAACAGAGTAGAGAATTCCTACTTTTGTCACTTTTATTGGCATTTGGTAATGTCTCACCACTGTCGGTGCTATCGTGAACATTATCATCATCATCATCATCATCATCATCATCATCATCATCATCATCATCATCATCATCATCGCCATTCATGTTTTCCGTGATGATTGTGGCTGTTGAAATTTTCAAGTTACTATCTGAAATCGATGGAATTTTATTCTGATCTGTTTTTTCACTTTCAGATGTAACTGAAGGCAGTTTAACAAGTGTAGGGGTTAATGTCACCACTGGGTCAAGTGGAACAACGGAAGTTCTTTCAATTTTAAATTATTCTGGTAAGCCACCAGGTAAAGAGATTTGCGTTTCAGATATAATCGAACCTTGTATTGGCTGTTTTGATGAGTATTGACTGGTATGTTTCCGTGACAATACTGGAGTAGTTTTGTAAATATGCATGACAGTCATTTTCGCATTTATTAACATTCCCTTCCCCATCTCCTTTCCCACAACCTCGTGAAGCTGAATTTCTTCTGGTGGATCAAATGTCTGTGGAGTTTCTGAAGTCCTCAGTGCATGCATATCTTCACCGGAGTCCTTATGCGACTTCCCTCCACACGGTGACATTCTGCGTTTACGGGTGGACTTCTCAGATCCACTCGATGTGTCAGATTTAGGTGAGACGACTTTTACACGTCGCTTTTTATCATTAATATGTTCATGTTCTTGTGATGGAGATCACTCGGAGTTTTTTGATGTGACAAATTTGAGACCACTAAATTTGTCTACTGATTTTGTTTTCAGGACTTCCTGACATGTCGTATGATGTGAGAAAGAGCGATTGGATTTTTTATGTGTACGAAGTTTCGGTTCTTGTGACGATGAAGAGGAATCGGAAATATCGGTAGATGTCTTGCTTGGTGTTTTTGAATATCCCCACCAACAAACTCCCTTATTCTCTATGATCACTTGAACCTTGATACTTTTCAACAGTCCACATCTGCTCTCTCAGAACCCCAGCACTTCTACATCATACCTCCTTCTTTCGCTGACTGGGCAGCCATACCACTCAGCCTCATACATATTACGTACAATCCACGTCCTCATTCTCATTCTTGCTTTCACCGAGAGAGATGACACATCGGCTGGATGGGTAAATGTTTTGATATTGTGGAGAATGAGTAGTGTAATGTAGACAAAAGGTGCACGAGATGACAATTAACTAGTTGGTGAGTTCGCTTATCATTGTGGGGAGTTCAAAGTTGGGTCACATTACAGCTATAACAAGGAGATGGTGTTGTAACTGACGATTACGTGATTAAATATACGACAGAGTAAAGACATCTGGTTACCAGGTGAAAAGAAGTCTGATGACTATTCCTTTCTACACTCACAAATCAGCTTTCAAAAGATTGATATAAGTTCCTCTCGCAATTTGAAGAAGAACCCAACTATATTTAATTCCTGATAATTTCAAAGGATTTAAGGCTGTCCACTTTGTGATCCCTGTCAAGCAGTGGCCTGCTTATGGCGCTACAGAAAGCGTTTCTCACACAAAAACCGTTGTGTTTGCTTTATTCACATTTTACAAGATTGTATTCGTGAGGAAACTAATAAGACTAAGAGAATCCTTGAAACTGAAACTACAAGTGCCTTCATGGCTTATCTAATATTCTAAAAGTACAAATATATTTGAGAAACAAATTGACAATATTCCCCTACTTCATCTTCAGATAAGAACTAAATCAACCTGTGTATTGAGTGAGGTGAAATGGTTTCACAGTGATACCGATGTGAAACACTATATCCCCTGATAGTGATCCCGCTCCACGTCTGCTGCATCACATAGTGCGATGGGGTTGCTGAGCTCACTTCCAGCTCTTCCACCTTGCTGAACTTCAAACATCAGCACGTGTACTAGGCGAGTCTAGGGATTGTTACCTTCGATGATTGAATCTGGACTACGTGCATGCTTGGAGAGCAGTCTAATATTGTGCTTGCAATCGTTTGCAATCATTTAAGAAATCTACTGAACTAAGCATAAAGAAAAGCACTGGATATTCAACACTAATTGTATGTCAGTTACTTGTTCCAAGTGGCTCAGAAACTATTGTGCAAGGAATTTGAAAACCACTTCAACACTATGGAATGCAGTGTTCCGAATATCTATGATCCACAATCATACCGACGCACACACGATATCTATGGTCGGCCTGCGAAATTTGGCCTACCGATATCCATGCTGAAAATGACATACTTGTACTGAAAATACGGTGTGGCATCAAGCCGTAATCAAAATAAAAAAAATAAAATAAATCATGAAGAATAAGGTGGTGACACATGCCAACAGAGAGCTCAGCGAAGTGTTTGTGACCTATGAATTCTGAGGTCTACCAACACAGAGACATGCCTGAAACCCTAAAGTCGCTTACACTTTATCATACATCTAATTATTTCATTATTCGCAATAATTCATCTTCAATCGCTTATTATGTTATCAATTCGAATCGACATTCGCTACTCAATTGCTCCTCATATGCAACCAGAATTTCGCGTTGAGTTACACAACCGTTCAACTTCTACGATTATTTCTACCCTTCAATACCTGATGTGATTTCCTTCAATTATCACTACATGCTTGTTTTCATCTCATCGTTTACGATAACTAATCGTCATCGTCATCATGCTCTGTCCGGTTCACTGGTACGCTCACACATCCAAGCCTGTTGCAGGACAGATTTGTGACGAAAAACAAAAGTAACTTGAATTTGAATTATAACCTCTTTTATTAGATTAATAGATAAATGTTGTACGCTGTGCGGGTTGGCGACAACCGACAACATACATCACATTTCATGCATTTTATCCAGACATCAGTGCGTAGAATGAACAGAAAAAGAATAGACCCACGCATCACCCCCAATGAAACTGTCGATCCACAGCTGAATGATACTGGAGACCAGAATGCGTGTCACCACCTGAAAATGAATAGAGAAAACACACATTAAGCATCATGTCCCAGTCTGATCCACATTTGTGCAAATGAAATTCTCGTCTGTTCGGATAGTGAGACTGTCGGTCGTCATTATGGAAGTTCGCAATCATGCAATGACGGTGTCAACGCCATTGAGAAAAGGACACAAGTATTTCATCACTCCACAACGTATGACTTCCAACTAATGAGTACGCCATTTGAGTATGGCATTGTGCAAACAAATCAGCTAGCCTGTATACACGTATCAGGAAATCGGTGGGGCGAGATCATATGTGTTGTCAGCAACGTGAAAATATTGAGCATTTTGCAAGTACACGCCTAACGAAGACAAACATTGAGTGGAGAAAAGCTACTCCATCAATTCAAATAACAGCTGGTGTGCATAAAGAAAACGCGATATTTCACATGCACAAACGACTGCGAAAATGTGAAGCATATCTCACCTTGAAGGGATGAATGGTGGAGCAGGTTGGCTGTGGTTGGATAAATCGCCTTTATACGTGCACTTTCGGCAGCTGAAATCACTAGAACTGTAAGAAGCAGGTAGCAAATCTGAACAGAATGAAACATGAACATCACCATTAAATGTCACACACAGACTCACCATTCTCACTGAGTGCCACTGATACATATCGATGATGATGATGATGATGGTGGTGGTGGTGGTTATGGAAAACCAGGAACACGGGCCCGTCTTTATAGTTTGCGAGAAGACTGTGATGCGAACACATGTGGCTGTCGTTCAATAAGTGTGACCAATGGAAATATTCTGATGTACACTGTGAATGGGTGACCTGTAGATTAATTGATAAAGTATGGGAATATCAGCAATTTGTTTCTGAGAGTTTTGTGCACTTTCTCAAAGTTTCATACACAACGGAGCCCTGGGAAATTTATATTCATCAGTTTTATCACCTGAGAATTTCATACCTATTAATGGCCTTATTTGTAAAAGTACATTTCCATACAATACTGAATGCTGAATGTGCTTTGTTGAGAAGAACTTATCCTTTGTGTAGAATCTTGAGTTTGGACAGTATTGATGAATATGTCACCGTTCTAGGTGAATCCCGATGATATAGCTTTCATAAGCATCCCTAGAAATTGTTATGCGGTAATACTGTAAAACAGTGCAACCATTCTTGAAGAGATTAAAAGAACCTTGTGACGGTGATAAGAAAGAGGAGGAAAATATCAATGTTATCTCCAGATGTGGTAATCGATGAAAATACAATATGTCGTCATAGTTTCGTCCAGATCTACGTCGTTTAAAAATATCAGCTTTATTCAACACTTTCACCAGTTGTTTTTCTCCAGGATATTTTGCCTCAAGTGTCGCATATCGATGATTGAAAGTTTGCGGTCTGTTCACTTTGAAAACCACCGGTAAAGTGTTCATGTCTAGGGGTTCTTCGACGGTAGACGCATTCACGATTATGTAATAATCATGCAGTAGATTAGATAGAATGGACAAGGATTTTCTAAGTATATCCTCAGGGTTGCTTTCTAAGAATATTAATATACTTCTAATTCTTTTATTATCACTATCATTACTACTGTTATTACAATCATAAGTACGCATGGCTTGTTTGTAAAGATTGAAAGCAATGACTGCTGGGAGCTGCAATATTTCACTTAGACAGACAACACGTTTTCGTTCTGTTTGATATAAATGCGTATTTATATGTCTGATACCGATAACAGCTTCACTGTTTTCATACAAACCAAAAACATCCATCCATTCTCCATGTAACAGGTGATTTCCATTTATGCCTACTGCAATCGCTGTTTCGATAATTATTGCTCCTTTCATTCCGCTCATCAGGCTATCATGCTTTATGGAGTATATGTTATCCTTCAACTCGTGAATTTGATTATTCCTTTGTACATCTTTACCAGGACACTCCTCACTTCTATTTTCACTGAGCTAATAAACTCTGATGAACAGATCACATTTTAATCCTTGAATTCGCAGTAAAATACCATAACCCTGGAAATATTCAATTTTGAACATTTCATGTTCAAGTTCTTTTGCATCGTCATTATTATTTTTTCCAAAGTAACTTAAATGTTGACAGGGATGATTTATGAAGATCATGCAAATTTTACTTCAAATTAAAGAGGAACTAAAAACAAAAAGGAGGAAAACAGAAAATACGAT